TCCGAGACCGAATTCTAGGTCCAATCATCTCAGGCTTCTCTGGTCCCCCCCAGCTTCTGACAGGTTTCCTCCTCCATGACTTTTCTCTGGAAACTATGACTCCAGTAGCTGAGTTCCTCGCTAAGGTGCTCACTCTTCAAACCTCAAAAAAACTAACCTAACTTCTCCTACTACTTTAATTTATTATCGGATTGTATGTTTAACTGTTTTATGCCAATAAAGGTTGCTTTGCTACTTTGCTACCATGGGGCTGGGGGAAAAAACACAACACCCCCAAACACAGCCAGCCCCAATGGAATGCAATGGGGCTTGGAGGAAAAACACCCCCCCCCACAGCCAGCCTCAGCAGTACGCTATGGGGCTGGAAAAATACTCAAAAACAACCCCCCCACAGCTAATCCCAGTGGAATGTGATGGGTCTGTGGAACCCTCCCCCCACAGCCAGCCCCAGCAGAATGCCATGGGGCTGGGAAAAAACCCACAAAAACACCCTCCACATACACACACCCAGGCCGAACGCGATGGGGCTGGGAAAAAACCACACCAAAACACAAAAAATATCACAGCACAGGAGGGAAGGCAGTAAAACTGGAAAAAAATAAACCGAAATTAGGTTTGACCTCTTACCTGGTTGGTGTTTTGGCCTATATAAGGAGGGAATGCAGTTAAAAAGGAAGAAGTAAACCAAAATTAGTTTTGATCTCTTACCTGGTCGGTGTCATCACCTGTATAAGAAGGGAAGTTGGCAAAAATGCAAAAAATAAACCAAAATTACTTTTCATCTCTTACCTTCTCAGTGTCTTTACCTGAATAAGGAGGGAAGGCAGTTAAAACAGAAAAAATGAACAGAAATTGGTTTTTATTCCTTACCTGGTCAATGTCTTCACCTGCATAAGGAGGGAAGGTGGTAAAAATGGAAAAAAAATTGAGCAAAATTAGGTTTGATCTCCTACCTGGTCGGTGTCTTGGCCTGTATGAGAAGGGAGGGTAGTAAAAAATAAATAAATCTAAATTGAGTTTTGATCCCTTACCTGGTCAGTACCTAACCATAAGATACGTTGTTTTACGTAGAAGATAGTTATGTGATATGTATTAACATTTATAAACCACTATCCCTTTAAATTTTGAGCAAGTAATTAACACTATGAATATGGAAATAAATACAAGAGAAATCTACCCAGAAAGAGAACAAGTCAATAGATCCTGGCATATTAACACATTAAATGGGTAAATGTTTCAGACACAATAATCTTTGGAACCCTTCAGAGTAGAAGATAGTTATGTGATATGTATTAACATTTATAAACCACTATCCCTTTAAATTTTGAGCAAGTAATTAACACTATGAATATGGAAATAAATACAAGAGAAATCTACCCAGAAAGAGAACAAGTCAATAGATCCTGGCATATTAACACATTAAATGGGTAAATGTTTCAGACACAATAATCTTTGGAACCCTTCAGACATGGAAACAATATGTAAAGAGATCTGTTGTTCATTTCTGAACAACATAAACAAAAACTTTTTTTCTAATTATGGTTACTAAGGAAGGAGCTTAACTGAACACAATCTAATGAATGCTAGGGATGAAATATACAGATTAATCATGCAGAGTAAGCAAATGTTTCAGAAATGAAATATTTCTGTTTCATTTCCAACAACTGCACCCATGGCTCCATCAGAAAGGGGGCACCCAGAAAAGGATCCCCACAAATGCTACTCTTTCCCATCTATGTGGGAAGTCTGTTATTGAAATCCAGCTTACATCTGGCTGCCCCCTAACAAACCCATTTATCTCCATTTAAAAACAATAGCAACCTCTCAAAAGTACCACATCAACTGCTCTGCCAGATCTCATCACCTTAAACCTACACTACCCAGGCAATGCCTTAATGTAGTTTCCAGAGCTATAGACAAAACAGGAAGCAATCCTGAGAGTAAGTATATCTCTACAAACTATGAACCTGAATGGCTGAGAAAGTCCACGGTTAAGCCCGGTTGAAAGGTAAAAGTAAGTAATTTTGAAAAGCCAAGGTCTCTCTAATTCACTCTGCTCCCAATAGCTGTTTAGGCAGGAAAGCAGCAGGTGGGCAGAGACCAACTGCCAAGAGCTTAGAGCACTGTTGCTCCAGCAATCATGTGACCTCAGAGGTCATGTGACACCTCTCATTATGTCCTCAGCAGTATGTCAATAGTTATTTGAATGTCTCTCACACTCTTAAGCCCAACCAGGCTGCTTCCAAGAGTGAAATAAAAGTCTTGTCCTGTGGATCATAAATACTTCTGCATGGCCTGCTGTTGGGCTGGTTTTTTTTTATAAGCTCATAAGTAGTATCTCTAAATGAGCATCCATTAACTATCTTAGTTAATGTCATGGAGCTATTTACCTACTCCCTTTTAGGTCAAGAGTCAAGAATGGAATATTAGAAGATGTTAGAGAACTAATTGCCATTCAAAGCACTATTTATGTCACAGAACCCTGGTCCAAATTCAGAAAATGTTAGCACTAAAATAAATCTTTCTTTTTCTCGTCCTGACTTAGAGCACAATCCTAACCAGCCAGGCTGGCCTTAGGCTGGCTGAACCAGACTCTCACAATTAAGAGGGAGATGCCTGTTAAAGGTACAGTGTGCTTTCCCCCCCAAATGCAAGTCCTTTCTGCAGTTGCCATGAAACCCATTGCAACAACAGTTTGTGCTGTAGAAAGCTAAGCCCCTCCTAGTGCATCTGGTGCAGAGTGCCCCCATGACATCTGCCTTTCTCTCATTTAAACATTCACCTGAGAGAACCACAGGAGGCAGCCAAAGAAAACTTATGTTTATTGATCTATAGCAGGGGTCTCAAACTCAATTTACCTGGGGGCCGCTGGAGGCAGGGTCTGGGTGAGGGTGGGCTGCATCAGATTTTCTGCCAAGCGGAGCTAGAGCCCAAGAGACTCTGAGGAGGAGGAGGAGGAGGAGAAGGAGACAGAGGGGCGCAAGAGCCTTCGTCACCAGCCACAAGCCCTTCTGGCTCCTTCTTCACTACTACTACTACCACCACCAGCAGCAGCAGGATGAAGAAGTGGAGAAGGAAGGGAGCACTGGCCCCGGAGGGGGCACGACATAATTTAAAAAAAAAAAACTCACAGAAACGCCTTGCCAAAGGAGAAAAGCCTCCATCGCTACCCGTGATATTAGACAGAATGGGGTGGCCCCCCACAGGTGCGCATGCACACACACACACACACACACACACACGCACGGAGGTCCAGCAACCTTCCTCTGAGGCCCCCCTCAAAAAAGGCACACTCCGGCGGGCTGGCTGGCAGGCTGCAGTTCCGGATGGAGGGTGCAAGAGGCGCTGTCTTGGGAGAGAGCCAGCGAGCAAGGCGAGGCTTTTTTGACTCTTGACAGCAGAGGACATGTGGGCGCTTCAGGGGGGCAGGCAAGGAGTGGGCCACAAACTATCATCCGGCGGGCCGCAAATGGCCCCCAGGCCACATGTTTGAGACCCCTGATTTATAGGATGGCCTCACATTACTCCCTCTTCCCCCTGCCCTAGCTCATAATTAGTGGCAAGGTTAGTGACTAGAGCTGTGTAAAGTTATACTTCAGGCAAGAATTCTTAGGCTGTGCTTTCCAGGGATCCTATAGTCTGTTGTCCATCTGACACAACTCTACACAATTCTACACAACTCTACACAGTTCAAGGCCTGGCCCTTTCACTGTCCATCTTCCTGCTCTCCTTCCTAGTTGGGTAATGTTGACTTTGCACTTGGACTCTCCCTTCTGTTTTTACTCATGATTGGGCAGATTGGGTCCCTTCTACAATACTAAATTTGTGGCTTATATTGGAGGGCCAGCTTGAATCTCCACCACTGTCAATCCACCTGCCCCTTACCTCCTGGTTCATGATTGGGGGGGATTTGAATCCCTCCCATCCTCACCTCTTGGCTCATGATTGGTGGGGCCAGCTTGTATCCATCCCAGTGATATCTTGCCCACCTCCTACCTCCTAACTGATGATTAGGGCACCAGCTTGTATCCATGCCAGTGTCTTTCCAACCCCTTCAGCCTCATGAATCATCCCATTCACACAGCTCATGATTGGCAAACCATGCATTCCTTCCCACCCTTCCCATCATTATCAATGAAAATAGGGTTTGTGTCCCTCCCTGAGCATGGCCTTGAGCTACCTTGTCTAATAAAGAAACTTGACTCAGAGTTGTTGTACATAGCATTTTATTGAGTGGGTATCTCTCCTCAGAAGCACTTTTGTATCTTAGACATGAGCGTGGCACACCCCTCCATGAGCGTGACACGTCCCTCCATGAGCGTGACACACCCACCTGTGAACACAGGGGGGCCCCTGCCCCCAAGCGGTTCGTGCATGGAACCTGCACCCCCCGAACAGTCCATGGTCCCAAAAAGTTTTGGGACCACTGCTTTATACCATCGTATTCATGAGAAAACTACTTTTTGGAAAAGTAACTTCTCTAATCATTTCCTTTAATTTATTTTCCAATTTCTTTTTTTTTTTAAGCACTCACATCTGAGTTTTACTAACTTCAAGACAGAACAGATTCCCTAAAGGAGTACTGGTGAGTAAAATTAACCTGGGGCTTCATCTTTTGTGTTTTACCAAAATAGTAATGAATTGACATGTAAAGTTTAAATTAGGTAAAGGCAAAGCACACACAAGATTTCAATAAAGCTGTATTTCTCTAGCTTTAAAATGAAGCCAGAAGGAGGGGGAATTTATATCACCTATTTATGACACCACTGATCCCTAGATATAATTTCCTCTGTCAGGAGATTGTCCGGAGATTATACTCACAGTCTGCCTGTACTGCTTCCTTCCTTCTCAACAAGGAGCTGCCTGTTGCTCCAAAAACCATCTCGTTTAACACTCACTAAACTCACATTACATGAAAGCAGAGCTTGGCAAAGTGTTGGTAGGGTTGGATGGGTGATGACGGTGTTTGTTGCCCGCTGCAGGAAGTGCCATATTGCTAAACTCCCCCTTACCAAAAAAAAAGGTACAAAAATAAAATAAAATAAAGCATGTGAATTGGAAATGAGAAACTGTTCTGGGGGCTCATGAAAAAGTGTTATTAGATGTTGTTTGGATGTCAGGGGGACTTGTGATATCATAAATGTTTGACTAGAATTTCAAAGGGTACAAATGCCCCCTCTGGAACAGGCCTAAGATTTGCTTTGGAAAGAAGGAATGAAGGACAAGTTCTTTCTCCTCTCCTTCCTGGAGAAAGTCAGATTATAGAAAGAATGGCTGAAAAAGAGGAGTGGGGAATGTACTAAAGAGTGGACTGATTGTGAGTATTTTTGCATCCCATGAAGTAAGAATGTCTGTACTTAGAATTCAGCCTCAGAAATTCAGTGCAGCACTAGACTGTTCCTGCTCTCAGTAGCCAATTATTGTATTATATTCATAATTGGCTCCTATTATCTTTTGGCACCTTTCAAGATTCCAAAAAGCGGCTGGTGTTTTTTATTATTTGGGGGAAGAGGTTTATGTTCACTGTTTTTCAGCGCTAATGAATTAAAAAAGAAACTAAAATTGAAATCTGCTCTTACGCTATTTGGGAAGGAAAATATTTCATTTTGGCCCATTGGGCCCTCATGCTAATGACTTCCAAAAAATGAATGGGATATGGTGTCACTGAGAGCCCAGCATTTAATGATTGTTCATTCTACCAAAGAAATATTGTTCAAAAAAAAATCTTGTCTGAAGTAATTTGTATTTCTAACCAATACCCTGTGTTGGTCATCTGGAAAATCACTAATGGGGAAATGGACAGCTATAGGGAGAATCTGTTTTCCTATATTTCCTGTGTTTCTTAATTTCTAGGGATTTTTATTCTATGGTCTGTTTTAGGTTGTTAATGGCTTGCGTTTTGGAATGTGATATTGAAAGTTATTTATGCTCTGCATTTCTTTTTTCCAGTTATGCACCAAGCATCTGGAATCCATATGGAACTTTTACTTACTCGATTTACTGAAGGTATCTTCAGATAAGAAAAGACAAAAACAAAGAGAATGGACTGCAGGACCAGGAAGAGTCGTTTAGCAACCCTGGGAAAAGCATAAGAGACTCGTATTCTTTGCCCATAGGGACTTGAGAATCTATCATCCTGCGCCACCTGGTTTTTTAAGCAGTATTCTTGGCCTTTGTTTTAGTTGGAGTAGAGTGAGGGGAGTCATCTACAGGTTTTGAGTTACTTCCATCCCCTTCCTGAAGTTTAAGGGTTCTTGTTTTTTTATAATGGAATGAAGCTGAAACAAATTCTAAATCTAAGACAAGCATGTTGTGTTTGTGTCTGTGTGCACACTCTCTACACACAAAAACTAAAACAAAACCCCAGATGGAACATAGTGTTTTTTTTTTTTTTAAATATGAGGTGGGGGAGAGAAAGCTTTGTGTCTCCTGTCTATTGTTAAGTGTGCCACTGAGACAAGGGCCATGTGAACGAGGCAGATAAAGCCAAAGGCAATAGCAACAACAAAAGGAAAGGAAATTTGCATGGGAGGGGGAGGAAGAGCTATTCTATAAGTAGAACTAATTACTGTAACACTGTCCATGTGCTGCTTCTAACACAGTACTTCAAAGAATAGTTTCATGGCACATTTGCCAAACTTGGGGCATGACCAGACAAGGGAAGTAGGAGTGATCTGTTTTGTGATTATAAGCTTTTAATCTTCGGTGCAATCTATTTTAACTTGCACTTGAGCAATTCTTCCATTTACATGGGGGACATTTCTCTGCCCACAAGATGGATCCAGACAGCTCTTCAGATCACTCCAATTTGTCCCCCTTTCCATTATTGATGCCTCCACCCTGTTCCCCCATTTTTTTTGCAGTTGTCATTCCATGGGCTGCAGTGACTCCCCTTTTTTGTTAAATAAATTAAGAGACATAGCACTACAGCAATGCATCAACTTAGCATGACATATATATTAATATATATTGTACCAAAAGATGTAGAATTGTGCTGTAAAGGCTAGGGGGGAAATTAAAAGAAGATGAAAATAGAGGAGGGGGGGTTCTCCATCATCCCTTTCAATGTCTCAACAGATAACACCACCCACAACTCTATTTTGGTGTGAATTTACCAACTGCATGGGTTATAGAATGGAATAATCAGGAGTGCTTCCAATTGCTTCAAATAAACTGCAGCCCTAGTGCTGTACAAGAAAAGAGCAGAACAGCTTGTAAATGGGCTGGGATGTATCGCTCAAATTGAAAACACATGTGGTGATCAGAAAAAATAGGGTGAACAAGATTGCACCCAAAATGATCCAAATACTGAGCTATATGCCCATCTGACCACCATCATATTTTCTTTGCTTTAAAGATCCACACATACTGTATCACAGCTTATAAAGATGAAAAGATAAAAGTACAAAAAATTTACATTACCTTCTCTCATGTGAAAATGGTAGTGCAAGAGACAACAATAGAATGGATTGTGGAAAACTTGTTGCATGTCCCATTGCCCCATGAGGTAAAATAAGTGATTTGCCCGTCCACTGAGTCAAGTCATTGCCACCCAAGTGAACCAATAAAATGTCAGGGGACATTTCCACATTACTCTGGGAGGCCAAATTCAGAAAACCATCCCAAAGCATGCCCCTTCACCCCCTCCACTCAAGTGTAGCCCAGGCTCCCAGACCCAAGTTATGACCCCAACTGGTCCGGGAAGCATGCCTGGATGCCCAAAATATAAAACTGTGGCTACAAACAATAACTCGTAAACATTTCCTTAGCACTGCTAAAACTCTTTGTCTCCACTCTGCCATATTATTTTATATTCTATTCTATCTTATTTAAGTATGAATTTGTTTATGTATTGATTTAATTATTTTTAATTAAATTCTCACTATTATTACTATTAGCCTTTACCAAATTGTTATTACCATTATCTTTATTACGCTTAGGTAAAGGTAAAGGTTCCCCTCGACATTTAGTCCAGTCGTGTCCAACTCTAGTGGGCGGTGCTCATCCCCGTTTCCAAACTGTAGAGCCAGCGTTTATCTGAAGACAGTTTCTGTGGTCACGTGGCCAGCGTGACTAGACATGGAACGCCATTACCTTCTCACCATGGTGGTACCTATTTATCTACTTGCATTTGCATGCTTTCAAACTTATTATGCTTATATATGCCTTTATACAGTGGATATATCCCTATATCCACACACACACCTATACACTCAGAAACACATACATATAAATATAAATAAACAATATAATATACAATACAATATACAGTGCTATAATATAATAATAATAATACAATACAATACAATACACACACACACACACACACAAATATACACCTATGGATTGATTTATAAACTCTTATATTCTTTCTTTTTAAAGATGTAAATCACGCCTATCAACCACCTAAAGCATTTCTCTTCCCCCACATACTATGTATTATTTATTATGTATTGCTTATTGAAATCACCACTCCTGTTGGCCTAGCCCCCAGAGGGGGGGAGGGGTTGACAGTCCTCCTCTCCCTTCTGCTCCGCTTATTCAAATTTCCCAGGGTCTTCTTCTTTTTAATGTTTTTAAATTCATGTATTATTTATTAATTTTCCCCCAACAAGGTCAGACATCCAGGAGGCTTCTGTAAACCCCCCCCCAATAACCTCCAAATCATAGGGGTGCACCGCTGCACCACCCCAAACTCCTAGGCCTCCAACAAGACCTCTGACACAACACCACGAGGCAGCAGTGAAACCGTTCAGAGGATCCGATAGCCCTCGATCATCCGCACTGAAACACTGCAAAAGAGGCTGAGCCAGGGAGAGCCAGCCTGATAAAAGGCTCTTCACCCGACTCTCCCCCCCCTCAGCCTCCACATCACAAGCCTGCGCTTGGCAGTTCTGAGTGGGTAGGCAGAGTGCGACCATGGCAGCAGCTCCGCGTTGTGCAGAGCATCCAATAAATATGAACTCAAGGAATCAAAATTCAACTGATGATTGATGCTTATAGAAGGCAACTCATATGTGTCACAGTAGGAAACTGACACTCATTGAGAAGGTGCCGGTTGTGTTCCTTGATTTTGCACCTAGAAACACAACCAGTGCCTTGTTAATGGACAACAATTTGCTGCCATGATGTATGTAAGCACAAACTGTAAATATGATTCTGTCCAATGAATGGATAATTCATTGGAAAGGGAGTGATAGGTGACATACAGAGAAGTTGGAGGAGGAAACGGTGAAGGATGAGAAGGGAAACAGGAAAAGGTGGACCTAAGGGTAGACTAGAAGGCAAACTTGATGGTGGTAGCAACAGCAGCAGAAGCCAGAGAAAACACAGAGATTAAGGCAATGGATAAAAAGAGGCTTGTTGTTTCTTTGACTTCTGTGGCAGAAGAAACAGGTGATGATTTTGCTGATGAACATGATGAGAGAACACATGCAACGTTTGGTGGAAACAATAGCCGTTTAACTCCTCCACATGTCCTTCCTGCTCACTTGCTTAAATTTAATTTGCCTAAACTTTAAGTGCCCTGTAGGAGAACATACTTGACATTGAAAAAAATAAATTCAAATGT